CTGCTTGGAGTATATAATCTAACAGTAAGACTTATATCTGCTCTACTGGTGGAACCAATGGAAACAAGAATGCCTTTCTTATTGAAAAACAAGATTTTGGCAGCACTGCATAGATGGAACCACCAGCTTCCTTTATGATAACCTCATTCCACGTCCCCTTTGGCTGTACCCATACAGGAAATAATATGAGCTTAGCTATCTTAGTACTGGCTGGTTTTGTATCTACCTAAGTGCATGCCAGTTCACCATTTTCCATAATGGCCGGAAAACAGTTTTTAAAGTTCTTTTCTACTCTTCTTATACAACATGTTTTATTAGACAGAAATGAAAGGTGCTGCCTATTTTGTCATGAGAGTTCAAAGCTATTCAGCAAATATTTACTGAGAATATTCTAATATTCTGGCATTATGCCACTTTGTAGATTCTATTCTTGGTTTTGTGACTTTGAACAAGTTATTTAAATACTAGAGTCTTGGTTTCCTTGTCATATATATATGTTATTTGTAACACGAGATTAACAATATATTTACCACTTAAAGTTATTAAGATGAAATAGGATCATGCTAGTCAACAAAACAAACAATTTGCCCCACTGCCTGGAACCTAATAAATGATGAATAAATGTTAGCTGACATAACAGTGGTGCCAATATATTGATATATAAAGTTACATTCATTCAGCAAATATTTACTAACTACCACCTATATGTCAGGTTGGTATTCAGTAAATAGTTTTTAAAAATATAACCCAGGTTTATGTCCTTGGGGCACATTAGTGAAAATAGATCTTTAAAAATATCTCTTGGCTTTGTGCATAAAAAATATCTCTTGGCTTTGGTGCATAAATCATTCTTTAACACTTGGTTTGGCTTAGAACTTTGCGAAGAATAGTATTTAGTGAATAATTGTTATTAAGTCCAATAGCAACTTAAAAATAAATGAATAGGTAAAGTCTGATACTGGTCAAAAAATTCAAGTTTTATATTTTAAATATTTCTGGAAGGTAGATTTCTAAATCATCTTTCTATCCAGCAGTAAGATCTTGTGATCTAGGATGAAACTAACCAGATTTTCCAATTTAACAATAAAGCCATATGTCTGACAAGGAGAGTTTGCTTATGAAACAGAGTATTTGAATTGAGGATTGTCTCAGAAAGTCTCACATATGGTGCCCATATCTATGAAATCACCCAGAGGAAATTATAAAGAAACATGTCTTGTGTGTCACTGCCTGAGATCAATGTATTCCCTCAGTAAAGCTGGCTCTGAAATGTGCCTTTTGCCCTTTGACCTGGACTGAGATGCTATGTATGTAATACTAGGCAAAAATGCAGTAACTAGCAGAAATATAAAGGTTCAATTCTAGCCACATCGCTGCAAGTTACTAGCAACTTTTCCCAGGCTTCAAAAGGACATTCTGTAGACTCCTATGATGTAAGAGGGTGTTTCCACTTCAGCTGTGGCCAGCAGATGCTATGTGAACACTTTCTGTCCACGTGCTGATAAAAGCAAGGAAAATATGAATAATGGAAAAAGAATAGCAGGCAGTTCTTTTGCTGGCTATGGTGATTTTAAACACAAGTGAAACACACACTTCAGCTTCTCCTTGGCAGAGGGTTTTAGTCTCCTTGAAATTTTTCACTCTTGTGAGAATGACTCACGTCTTGGACACGGACAAGTTCCAAGTCTGGTGTTCCCAGCACCTTTAGGCATTGGCTAATGCACCCTTGGGGAGTTTTCAGCATCCCACCAGCTGTTTTAATTAACAAGGGATGCTGTGCTCTCTTGCCTTTCACTGAAAACTCAGCATTTTACCATTCCCCAGAAGTTTGAACTTTCCGTTTGTGTGATTGCCTTTATCAGGCTCATGTGTTACATATTACGGTGTCCTGTATAAGTGCTAGAAGCGAAACTTGCATTTATTTTTATTTGCTTCTTCATTTCTTTTTCGCTTCCTTGTTAGCCAGTTCTTTAAACTATATGCATTTCTTGTTTTTAAAAACACTTTCACAAACACCAGTTTTGCTCTTCAGAGCATTCCTGAGCAAGGTGGTTGACGAGTATTGTCATCTCTATTTATTAAAGGACAATAATGTCCACAGGCTCGAATCCTGATGTCCAAGCCACAGTGAATGACCTAGGTTATATATCAGAGGGTGAACTAAATACAGAATGCATAATGGATAAACAAACAAACAAAAACTCCATTTTTTTTTCTTGATATCCTGAGTCCAAGGCAGGTTTCCTGATTGGCGGCTGGCTCCTTCCATTTGGCAGTTTAAGGATCAAGTTTAAGGACCAAGCTCCCTATATTTTGGGCTCTGCCATCCCTCTAGGACCTTGTTGATATGAGCATCAAATCTGTAGAGGAAAAGAGATCGTAGGAGGCCCCACTCCCTTATTAAAGTCCTTGTTAAAAGTGGCCCATCTCTGATTTCAGAAGGCTGGACTACCACGGCCACACCAAGCAGTCTGTGATTCAAAGGTGGGAACACAATTGGTGAGCTGCTACACTCAAGTTTCCCAGAGTATGATTCACATCTACACAGGACCACCTCAGTGTAGGACTACAGAGAGTAGAATGTGGCATTGCCTCTTGGAGCTGATCAACCTGGTGGCCACACAATTAGTAACAACCAATATAGTACTGCGTGCTATGTGGACATTCAATTTTAAGTCTTGATGCAGAATAGGAAAATATAGATTACTCATAAGAGATTTTGCAGAAATAATGACTTAGCTTTCAAAAACTAGTTGAATTTAAAATATTAAGCATTACTTATATGTAAATATAACAAAACCCCTGAAGTTGGTGTGAATGATTGAATATGAGGATACCGCATTTATACCAGTTATATCCCTCATTATAGTTCAGTCTTGGTAGAGAAGGAAAATAAGCTTTAGGGGCAAAAGAAAAATGGATACCGGGGTTTATAATAAAAAATATACAGTTGGACTCTTGAATAATGATGAGGGATAGAGACTCCTGCAGCCCACGCAGTCAAAAATCCCACTATAATTTAAGTCGGTTTTCCACCTTCGAGGATTCCCACACTCACAGCATATAAGATGACCCACTCACAGTTCAAACCTACGTTCAAGGGTCAACTGTACATCTGGTATAGAACTCCTAAAATCCTTAGAATTTCCTAAGTGCAGAGAGCCATAGAGGTGTCTTTAGTTATGTTAGTGAGGTGATTTTTGGAAGGCAGCTATGCTCACCACTATACCACCAATGCACACAGTGAGGTGATTTTTGGAAAGCTCCTAAGGATGGGATGTGTTGCCAGTGGAGCCAACTGCATGATTGGAGGATTGGAACTTCTAGTCCCACCCCCAGACCTGGGAGGGGAGAGGGGCTGGAGTTGCCATTGGCCAATGATTTGATTAATCACGCCTATGTAATGAAGCCTCCTTAAAATCCCAGAGTGGAGAGCTTCCGGGTTGGTGATTTGGGGAG